TGGCTTAACCAGTGGCCACTGCCACTTGGGACAGCAATTGCGAGTTCTGTATATAACAAATCACTCCTTCTGGTGACTTGTGTCTTTTAACTTCCAACCTATGATTTGGCCTGATGATTGTAGTGATGCAAGTACAGCCCACTACTTAGACCCCTAAAAAGTAACCAAAATCAAAAAATCTGAAGTTTCTGGAAAAGCCATACGCGATCATCAAAAGAGCCATATATGGCTCGCGAGCCATGGGTTGCCGACCCCGGGCCTAGGCAATAGAGGGCAATTATGCCCAATTCAGGGAAAGAAATAGTCGGGATAACTAGATGAACCAGTCAACCAGTGACGGAACCTGGGCGGACACGCAGCGCTCTGGCCAGCGAGAATAAGTTTTCCACTCAGTGTCGTCCCGCTAATGCCCATTATCTTACAGAAGAAACTTAACGGCCCGAAAGTCACGTCACAAATTCACTGCTGAGCAAAATGCATTCAGTCCGATTTTGATAGTCAAAACAGTTCTGCAGAATTATGCTTGTTCGTCTTCTCTATTCCATGAAAGAAACTGGTAAGGCGGATGCGTAGAGTTTCAAATTTTGCATGTACGGTTGCGCTCCCTCTATCGCAGAATATAAACTTAAGCGATGCCATTAGGCCAACAAGCTCATGTTGCTGCATTAGCCGTGGTAGAATTGGAGTATATGCTTGAGACTGTGATGAAAATTTCCCACAAAGCAGGGAGTGTTCGGCATTTCTGCATAGGGTGAGTCACCGATAGTGATTGCATGGGCAGTAGACGTGTGCAGTCGTGCGCTTGGCCAAATTGGGGGTACATTGTCTCCTTGTATGCGTTGCTTTTGGCTTATGCTATGGTTTCAGTTGGCACATAACTGCTGCATATGTCTCCACTATAACCTTATTCCATGCGTTTCTAGAATCCGAAAAAGCTACTGCCACGTGGCAGAGGAGAGGTAGAATCAAGTCAGTCATGCATCCTCTTGGCACATCTGTTTATTCCTCACTTATAATTTATATATTACACACTTGAATCTGATACGACGCGGCAAAAGTTATGACTTAAAAGGCTGAAAACCCACGGCAAAATTCGGCCACCCTCGGGACTGAAAGTCAGGTGCAACAACTGTGTTTCAGTACGGCCTTTGAGGCACCCTCGCTGACATGCGATCCGAGCTGCTATAAAAGTAGTATGACACATGTAATGCCGAACAGTTTGCATGTAACACTTGTAACCGAGCTACTTAGCTTTCTCAACCACTGTGTCAGAGACCATTATTTTGGCATCAGAAATGGAATAGTATGGCAGATGCTGCACAAGTTCGCCTCGCAGTAAAATACTTCCCACGCGAATAGCCGATGCTGCTCCCCGTTTCGAGTAGGCGGTGGACCTTGTCGTTGGCGATGGTCGAGCACCAAACAATGTACCCACTGTCATCACCTCGCTGCCGATAGGTTTCAATAATCAACTTGGGAATGGAAGCAGTAAAATATTGAGTGCTTTGGCCTCGTGACAAGTCGGCGCATTTCTCCCCATAGTAAATCGTATACGATAATGGTCGTGATTTAGTAGACTTCCAGCTGACGGAATAACGCAACATTGCTTTGGGCCCAGATACTGAAACTGACTTCGACTTAATGTGGCCTGTATGGAACTAATAAGGGTATATTTGAATGATTTCATCTAGTTTTTAAAACTCGGCGGCCTCAATAGGATAAAAATCCATGCCTGCAAGGGGAAGATTATAGTACGTCCAAACCCCTGGTCAACTGAACTACGATAACCCACCGGGACTTGGATCAAACTTCGGTTAAGTTGCCCGTTCAGCCTGCTGCATCATATGGAATCGACTAAGTCTGATATAGTAAGCTTACTTCCCTAGCAGCATTTCCTAAGCAATCCATCTAGATTCTATCATCTCGCTATCAGGCGCAAGTATGTAACTATCGCTTGCCGGAAATCTGAGATGCTTCAGTAGAGCCCTCCATACTTGTATTACGGATGCAGCCCGCGTATGACTGACACAGCCTTTTCATTTTTTTTCTATCTTTGCACTTACGTCCAACTCCGGTCGTTTCGACTACTACCCCCCTCACTCAAGCCAAATACAGGAGCATGTCAGGGATTCACTAGCCTTATCGCTGGTAGAGCTCACAACTTCATTGAGGTGCAGTATGAGCGGACTTTTAACCGTAAACTCTACCTCCAGGAGTAACTTTTCACGGAGTGAACGGAGAACGTTTAGGGAATGAGCCAGTCCCTGGTCATGAAACCCTGCGTAAGTATTTCGGATATTCCCACATTAAACAATGTTCTCCTAGGGATAGCCACTTTATCTTAAAAAAAATTGTCCGTTTAATAAGTTCACTTTCGCAAACGTACCCATATGGCTTTGTTTTGTGTCCGCCGAGTCAGTTTATTTATGCATCCTCGTGAGATTTGTCTTCGAGCGTATTAGATTTAGTTGCACCCCAGTGGTGTTCGGCACAGTAGCCATAACATAGGCTGAGGAGACACGCTAATCTGACGTCTCACCTCCCTGTAGAAGTCCATCAGACATACTGGGCTATCGGATTTATATTATTTGATACTACGACATACCAAATGTTGCTACTAGTAATGCGCGTTGTACGCTTTTTACCCGATTGCAACCTTGTTAGTCGCACACCAGGCAATAGACGCTGCGATAACAATTAAGCTTGACACTCAAAGACACATCTTCTCACATCTTTTTTCCCGCAAAATAGCATTCACATGCACCCCCGACAGGATTGCCTCTTCACACAAAATCTTGGTGTTCGATAGTGTGAGGAAGCTCATTGTGCTTACTGACTGTTAGTCTTCTCAAATAGCACATCCTATGGCAAAGAAATGATGGAACTCATCGAAGTTTCAGCGTTAAAATTGATTTTAGACAGAGTTTCAAGGTACCCATCCCCAGAAAAACCTTATACGAAGGTCCACCGGAGAGGCATTCAGGATCACGCATCACGCCAGCTCCCTCTATTCTCGGTTGTTTATAAATACTCTGGACACGTGCTCTCAATCGATTTTCAGTAAGAGGGGCATATGGATGAAAAGAGTTTAAGCTTTTAAAAGTTATCTCAATTTACAACAACAAAGATATTAGTGATAGAAAACAGACGAAAAGAGAGCTTTGTGCCTGGAAAAGTACACAACATGGCGCTGATGCTCGCATGTGAGACTAGATTTGACAGATTATTCGACAAAGTCACTAATAAAATAAAGGCGCTAAGCAGAGTACATTGAAGCAGAGGGAGAAGATCACATGGAGAGGTGTTTCTTCATGTAGGCGATAAGGATCTCCAGAGGACGCTCTTGCCAGCCGTGAATCACACTATGCGGCGCGTTTATCTGATCACTTTTCAGACGATCAACAAGGGTAACGCAGAGCACAGCAGCTAGAAAAAAAAACAGAGCAAACTGCTTTGAAAGCATGCCAGAAAGACTGCCATCTTCGATGATAAAATTTTGACTGCATTTAGATTGGGTGTGGGAATATGGATTAGGTGACTATGGCCTAAATTCCAGAAGGGGGCGGTAAGAGTTACACTTAGAGTTACGGTTAAGACTGTTGTCAGGATTAGAATTATAGTTTGGACGCGGGAATGGGTGAACCGCTTGTATTTAGCGAGAAAACACCTTTACTACGGACGTCCATAACTGACCCGCATTTGCCTTATAGAACAAAAACGGTGTGAGGGATGTTGCAACCGAGTTAACGGTACCCGACTTGTCCGTTTTTTGTGCCGCCGTTTAAAAAGCTCGCAGACGCCGGCGTGCCAGACGAATCACCTTAAAAAAGCCAAAGTCGTCCGCACCTTCCAGGCGCCAATTGCGCCCTCATACTTGCACAGACATCAACTGGGCCCCTGTCGGCACGGGCGGAGCATGTATTCTCGTTTGCACGTGATCCTTTGTTCTCGGAGTGAATGCTTGGCAAGCCGCCCACCCCGTCTTCTTCGTGCCGGAGTGTGACCGTCTGCCATGTAGGGACACAAACCCAGCTAAAGGGTTCGGAAGTCACAACGGCAACAGTAGCTTGTGTAGCCCCACTCATTAATCCCCACAACCTGCATGTTTTCCTAGTAAAACTGTGTTTATCGGGTTTTATGGGCGGGAAATTAGGACACGCAGTGGAATAAACCTTAATAAATGCTAAATGCATCTTTATTTGACTGTATTTAGAAGTGTTGTTGATTTATATA